TTCATTGAATAAACATGAGCACTGCACGTGTCAAAGTCGAAACCCGGTGCGGGTGTTTTTATATCACTGTATTTCTGAAGGAAACCTACTGTCTTCAGAAAATGATGATGTAATTTTCATTTCATCTTTCCTGTAATGCCTGAGCAGCGTTTGTGAGTGCAGCGCTTATTTGATTACAGCTGTTACTGGGGAAACCTCTATTTCTCCCGCTCTACAAGCGCCTCCTGCTGGCAAAGAATGGAATTTGCATATATATGCCATCACAAATAGAGTGCAAGTCTGTGGGAAACACCGCTTCTGTTATGAATATTATTCAATATTTTAATAACATGAACGAACATAAACAAAACGCTTATTTGATTACAGCCGTTACTGGGGAAACCTCTATCTCCCGATTTACAAGCGCCTCCTGCTGGCAGAGAATGAGTTTGCATATATATGCCGCCACAAATAGAGTACAAGTCTGTGGGAAACACTGATGAGCATTAGAATGAAGCTTCTTTATTAACTATTTAATGCTCCTATAACTTTTATTAGGATTAAAAAAAACAGGAGGACATGATGATATTTAATATTTTTACACACCAGAGGCTTTTAATTTAATTGTGAATCTAAAATATGCGCGCTAGAGAATGTACAAATGGTTAACATTGTTTGTGTCATATCAGTCAGAAAAGCAGTTCTGAGCTTTTTTTTATTTATTTTTTTAGCTAACTTAGCTGTTATTCTTGGCTGAATAACTCTAGAAGGTTTTCAAAAGCCCTTTAAAATTAAATATGTACACAGTTTGGATTAAATGAAAGTATAGTCAAATTGTATCTCCTGCATAGACTTTACAATAAGATAAGATTCATTAACATGACTTCATGTTATTATTTAACATCAACTTACAGTGAGTGAACAATATATTTTTACATTAATTAATGTTTTTGAATGTTATTTAATACAAACACTTGATCATTCATTTTTGTTCATTGTGCATTAAATAATGTTAACAGATTGAACTTTGAAATTAACCCTAAGAAGAATAATTGCCATGTTTATTGTTAGGTCATGTTATCTAACAAATAAAATCTTATTGTAAAGTGTTTTTAATACTACAGTTTCCATCTATTT